CCACAACTGTCCACTTAGTTAATCCTTACCCTAAGTTTTCACACTTCATAAAGTACTCAGGAAATTTTTTCTTGTGTTAAAAATATCTTACCTCGTAACAAAAATCATTGAGAAAATTAGGATTCATTGTGTAGCCAATTTTACTGTTTGAAATAGAACCTTAAGAAAAGTTAGGAGTAGTCATTAAGAGTTCTACAAATACCCTGAGATGGATTTTAAATGTGTTATCTCTGTCCTTTAAGTTGCTTTATTTCCAAGAAGTCAATGTTACATAGTACTTCTTGACTATACTGACTGTGCCAGTAAAATACAGGGAGAAGTATTACTTCTGGACTTAATTTCTACCTCTAAGGAAAGCTTTTCCATTTTTATAGCTAACATGACAAAATCTACTTTTCAGCCAAACTTCCTCAACACAGCAGTTTAAGATACTATTTCAAATACTATTAAATTTAATGGCAAGCCTAAATTCAGACTTTTCATTTCACTTTTACACCTACTGGAAATTATTTTACTAAAAATAATTATGTCTTCAGATGATTTCCTATTTCCACTTAAAGTGGAAACAAATTAGAACACTTCATATTCTATTTGCACTTCGCAAATACAGTAATTATTCATTTATCTGGCATCATCAGAAAATGAGGATCAGGGCCAACAGGTGGTATGGTGGTTAAGGTGCTAAACTCCTACATGGCCAACCAAGGTTCAAGTCCTGGACCTGCCAGCTTGAAAATCACACCAGACACATGTGTATACATGCCCAAAATCTCATGAAGATAACAGAGATGAAGGAATTGTGGCATGGCCATCTACCCCCCACCCCTGGGGGTGGGGTGGCGATTTCTCACTTTCTCTCTGTCTCTGGTGAGTGCATATGCCCTATGACAAAAACCTTAAAAACATTAAAAAAAAAAAAAAAAGGGAAAAAAAAGACAATGAGGTGCTCCACTTTAAGCATTTTCCAGATAACTGCGACCTATAAGAGAACTGGTCTATACTGTTCCCTGCTGTATTCCCAGGACCTGACACAGTGACTAGCTCATAATAGATACTCAGGAATATTCAATTAATGTGTAAGTAAAATAAAGGTATTTAAAGCTCTTTTAGAGACGAGCAGTTAGCATAATGGCTATGTCGCTGGACTCCCACATAGTCGACCGCAGTTCGAGTCCCGGATTCTGTGGCTTAAACTCACTCCAGGCACGTGTGCGTGCGTGCCCAAGATCCCGAGAGGAGAATGGAGCAGAAGGGATTGTGGCATGGCCACTCCCACCCTGGTTGGGGGGGGGGGGATTTCTCGTCTGTCTCTCTTTCTTGCGAGCGCACGGACCCTATAGCAAAAACCTCTCCAAAAAAAGATGGCATAATGGTTATGTCACTGGACTCCCACATGGCTGATCGTGGTTCAAGCTCCAGACCCAGAGGCTTGAAACTCATGCCAAGTGAGTGTGCATGCAGCCTCAAAGAAATCTTGAGAAGAGAATAAGAACGGATTGTGGTGTGGCCATACTCCCAGGGGGTGATTTCTTGGGACCAGTAGATGGTGTAATGGTTACGTCGCTGGAATGCCACATGGCCAATTGCAGTTCAAATACCAGACCTGGAGGCTTGAAACTCACACCAGGTGACTGTGAGTGCATGCCCAAGATCCCGAGAGAAGAAAGGACTGCAGTGTGGCCATCCCCACCAAGGGGTGATTTCTTGCTCTCTGTCTCTATCTCTGTTTATCTGGCCAAGCACGTACCCTATAGCAAAAACCTCTCCCAAAAAATCTCCTTTATTTTTAATCATTTGTTGATACTTTTCTTACAGAAAATTACAGCCCTTACTCCTTTTCTTTAAAATGTGACACTGAGAAGACATTAAGCTTTTCTTATTAATTTGTGGCATCACCTGGGATCAGCAGGTAGCCTAATGGTTAGGGCATTGTACTCCCACATGGGTGATCACAGTTCAAGTCCCCGACCTGGTAGATGGCTTTCTATCCCCCCTCCCCCTCCCCCAGGCAAATTTAAAATAATTAATTAATTCTAAAAAAATTTTTGTTTAATGTGTGGCATCACCACAAACAGCAACTACTCTACCCTCCTACCACATACCTATCATGCCCTCAGAAGCTTTTAAAAATGCACTATGTAGAGTCTTGCCACCAGGTTAAAATGATAGTCCTCCTCTGATATTAGCTGTCATCTCTGTGAGTTTTTGCCACCTTATTTTACAGACAAATGTCTAACATGATTCTAAATTTAATTTTGCCTCCAAAGCAGAATTACATACATAGACTTAGGTATAACTCACAAGTCTTTTCTACTTACTGCTGACCTGCATTCTCATTCTACTTATTTAACAGACTCCTTGCATACACATACCCTGTACTATATTCTATATAAATCTGAGGTGGTTCTACAGTTTTAAATGAGTATCTTAAGGATTTTCATTTAAGGGTTCAGTTTCAAATATTAATCATGAGTAACAGCTCAAAGACTAGCTCCAATGTAAACCCCAGGGCATATTTTTAAAATCCATTTAGGAGACACCAGCCACGACAAAGCTGGATTTCATCTTGCTTGATAGACTGTGATGGGGCCATAATTTAGATTCACTGTTCCAAAGTTCATGGCAGCAAAAATCAAATGCACTGGCAGCCATGGTGTACTCTACTTGCACAGAAAGGAATATCTCCCTGAACCTAGGAATGGAAAGAATAATTTTAACTATAGCATTTAGTTTATACAATACAACTGAGGTCCTTTCCCACAACAAACTTTGAATAATGTTTATAATTTAGTAATCAACTGAAATGATGAAAGAATTACCACAATTGAAATAAAATATTTATGTATTTCAAACCAACAGAATTGTATCTTCAAAAACTAAAATAAGCCAAGAGAAACCTAGCTCTGAGTTAGGGATGGATACAAATAAAATGGGGGGATTTGTTTATGTGAGTCTTTGAGTCACTTCTCTTTTTAAAGATTTAATAAGCTTTCATTTGAAATAACCATACTTTACTAAATTAAAGGATTTGATTAAGTATTCTTTAAAAGTAACTAGCTAGGTAAACAATAAAGAAAGTTATCCAAGAATCAAGAAGAGAAAATTACTTCAGACTGTTTTATGAATATTCTTCCAAAATCACCAATCTTTCAACCAAAATAGTTCAACGGAAGATTTCAGTTCCTGGTACTGAACTGAACAAAGAGAACCACATGTTTTTAATGGTTGGTCATAAACGACCCAAATAAATCTCCAAAAGAAAAGCAGTGGTTCTTTCTGTATTTTTCCCTTCAAAACTCACAAGACCAATTCAACACAGAAATAAAAATTACTGTACTTTATGGCACCACTCACTTTGTGACACATTTATTTGCTGTCATGAAAGTTAGTGCCTCAACAAAGTAAATGAGATTTAGGAGAAAACTCTGCTTTTAAATTCTAAAAGGCAAAAAATGTCCTTGCCATTTGTGGCAGAAAGAGTTTACCCACCTCAAACGAGAAGCTTTTCAAACTAAGTGAGAGACCGGAGTATTTATATATAAACGTTACAGGGAAGCTTTCCAAATAGCTTTCCAATCAATTATGATGCTGACCTTAGATCAGAATCACACAGCTAACTACCATTTATAAGAAATGAAGCCTACACTACAGAAAATATAACTTATAATTTAACCACTGCTGTTCTCTTTTCCGTGATTTTTAACTCTGAATTAAAACACAAAGCAACAGCACACCCTGCTGGAAGTCAGTAATACAACCAGAGTAATGAGCAGCACTGAACTGCTACGATCTCACACAACATGATCATTATTTCAGGAACACTGATTTCCCACTAACTGAAAAAGAGAGGTTCACAGGCATTAATCATCAGGTGCCTATACATGTGATCTTCAAAGTTAAATTAAGATTTAGAGTAACTTTCAAGTTGTAAGAAATAATGCTTTTTCCTGCTCATTTCCCTAGCCCCACGCAGCCCAACAAACCCAAGCGATTTTACTATTTCTGGTTTTAATCACAAATAAAAGTTTTTTCAAATATGCTTCTTGTAAGACTGGCCCTGTAACCTAGTAGTTAAGGGTGTCAGGTCCCACATGGCCAACCGCAGTTGCAATTCTGGCCCCAGTGGCTTGAAAAACAGGTTGGGCAGGTGTGTGTCCCAAATTCTGACAGAATGGAGAAGCAGCTATGGAGTGACTAAAGATTCCTGGAGGTGCTTTCTCCAGCTCTCTCTGGCAAGCACTCACACATTCTGGCAATAAAATATATATGCTTTCTGAAGAGAGAAACTAGTAATCACATAAAACAGAAAATTAAAGCCATTTTCTCTATACAACTGTCTGAAGTACTCCTTCTCTTTACCATTGCATACTGGCCTCAGAAACATCTCTGAAGACCACCATAAAGAATCCACAAGGCAGCCTGGTGGTCTGTGAACCACAATTACATGAAATTGGCAAAATGCCTACACAGATTCTGGGATTCAAAACGTGCAGTCTATATTAAGTAGCCACATGCCATGAAACTGCATACAGTATGTTTTCAGAAAAATCATGGGAGCTAGTGTCTAGGTAATCCAGTTCCACTCTAACTCAGACATACAGGACTCAGTGGGAGGAAAGAAAGGTATTCAAGTTTTGTAAATGTGCTCTCTTGACTCTAAATGTTCTCCCCTTAAGGAAAGCAGGCTAAGCTAGTACTCATGGACACACAGCAGATCATGCTAACTACTTGGTTCCTTGTTCCTGCAACTGAAGGTTCTCAATGACCTACAGTCAACTTTCAGGGCACTCTTTATCACAAAGGTCAACAATTCTGAAAAATCATTAACAAAGCTTACACGTGTTAGCCTGGGCAATGATTTCTTGGATACAGTTTTCTTTCAAGTATTGCAAAAGCAATAAGCACTTCAGGTCTCTTTCTGAAGCTGTCTCTAGTAGAATTATTTGGTTCATTATCTCAACTGAGGTACAGTCAAATTAAATTTTTAAAAAGATACCAACCTCAAGCCTCTTTTCAAGTGATTCAATTCTGTCCTTTTTGCTAGCTAGATTGGCCCATGTATAACGGCTCTGCCCAGGAAGATATAAAACTTGACTGTATAGCATTCTTCCCACACCTGGTTATAAGCTTCACTTGAAAGTTCTCCGTGGCTCATTCCTTGTTTTACCACTTCCATCTCCTGCACCAGAATGTCCTGAGCCTGTTACAATAACAATTCCAGTAAGTTTAAGTAGTACAAACACTTATGATCATCAGAACTTAAAAAGATTAGGGTTTTCCTTCTTCCTTGGGCCACAGGCAGGGGTTTAGGTTAATTGGTTGTTTTTTGGAAGGGGAGGCAATAGTAAAATGTATTAAGAAAACTATGAATGGGCCAACAGGTGGCATGGTGGTCAAGGTGCTGGACTCCCACATGGCCAACTACAGTTTGAGTCAAGGACCTGGTGGCTTGAAAATCATAGCAGGAAGAACCAGTGGATGATGTAATAGTTACATCGCTGGACTCACACTCAGTTGACCATGGTTCAAGTCCCAGACCTGGTGGCTTAAACTCGCCCAGTTCATTTGCACACATGCCCAAAATCTCAAAAGGAAAATGGAGGAGAAGGGATAGAGAGGTAGACACTCCCCCAGGGGGTGATTTCTCACTTTCTCTCTCTGCATCTCTGGTGAGTGCATGCGCCCGATAGCAAAAATCTCTCAAAAACAAACAAAATAACCATAGCAGGCACATGAGTGCATGCCCAATATCCCAAGTGGAGAATAGACAAGAAGGGATTACAGTGCGGCCACCCTCCCAGTCCAGAAGGGGAGTAATTTCTTATTTTACCTCTTATTTTCTCTTTTCTCTCTATGGAGAGTGAACACGCCCTTTGGCAAAAAAAAAAAAAAAAGACTATCCAATGTTGTCTCATTTGTACCCTACACACACATTTTCATGGCCCACATTAAAAAAAAAAAAAAGTCAGGGGAGTGCAGGAAAAGCAGGTGGCATGGTTGTTAAGGCACTAGACTCTACATGGCTGAATGCAATTCAAGTCCCAGACCTGGCAGCTTGAGAATCATGCCAGGCATGTGCGTATGCATGCCTAAAATCCCAAGAGGATAGAGAATGAAGTGTGTCATGGCAGTCTTCCCTAGAGGGTGATTTCTCACTTTCTCTCTCTCTCTGTCTCTCTCTCTCTCTCTCCCTCTCTCCAGCAAGTGCACACAACCCATGGCAAAGACCAAAAAGAAATAAAAAGGCCTATGACTCAATGCAGACATTAAGCACCCATGTTTCCCCAACAATACAAACATCCTTTGCTTCATTCATTTCTTAGGTACCCACTATGTATCAGGAATTGTGTTTAAAAGTTTTACCTACATTATTGCCAAAGAACATAATTACCTTAACAAAGTAGCCAGTATTAACCTCACCTTAAGGCTGATGAAACTGAGGCAAAGAAAGATTAAACAACTTGTTCAAAACCACATCACTGGTAATAAGACAGGATCCAAGCCAAATAGTATCAGCATTGAGGTGTGCTCCACCATCCTGTCTTACACTGGACTTTGCAGGATGGTAAAGGATAACCAGGCTTCTTTTTGACATATGCCTTCTTTTTCATTCTCAAGGAATGCCCCTGACATTGTCCCATTGCCCAAGAGATTAGGGGTTCAAATCAGATAACAATGGATTATAAACCAGTCTAGTTTACTACTAAAGAAACTGTTTAGATGACAAAAGATTTTGGAGTTGGACAGACCTGGGTCAAATCACAACTTACCACCTAAATAGCTATGTGAACTTAACTTCTTTGAGCCCATTTCTTTCCTGTAAAACAGAGATACCTATCTGACATGTTTGTTATTAGAATTAAGTGAACGATATACAAGAAAAGCCTAGCCCAACACCAGACACAGAATTCCATGAGCAAATCACAAAAACCGACTCCAGCCCTTTCCTTCCTGGTTCATGAAAAACTGGCAACCCTCTTCAGTGCCTTACAGAAGGCTTTCACTCTCAAAGAAAAAATATTTAGTCAAGAGAAAAAACCAACAAACCAAAAATTTAACAGAAAAGTGGAAAATCATGATTAGAGAGGAAGGAAAAGAAACTTTTTTTTTTTTTTGAGAGGTTTTTGCTATAGGGTGCGTGTGCTTGCCAGAAAGAGAGAGACAGAGAAACAGAAAATGAGAAATCACCCCTCAGGGGGGGATGGCCATGCCGCAATCTCTTCTCCTCCATTCTCCTCTTGGGATCTCGGATATGCGCACACGTGCACCTGGCGTGATTTTAAGCCACCGAGTCCGGGATTCAAACCACAGTCAACTACATGGGAGTTCAGTGACATAGCCATTACGTTAACTGCTGGTCCCTACCTTTTTTGTTGTTTTTAATTCGCTATAGGGAGCATGCTTTCGCCAGAGAGAGAGAGAGAGACAGAGAGATGGGGGTTTGGAAAAAGCACCCCCCCCAAGAGGGGATTGACACACAGAAATCCCTTCTCCACTCTCCTCTTGGGATCTTGGGCATGTGCACACACGTATCTGGGGTGTTTTTCAAGCTGCTGGATCCAGGACTCAAACCACACATTCAGTCATGTGGGATCCAGCCTCCTTAACCATCATACCACCCACTGGTCTGAGAATGTATACATTATTTTAAATCAGTTATTTACTTATTATGATTATTATTTTTTGGGGGGAGATTTTTGCTATAGGGCACGTGCACTTACTGGAGAAACTGAGAGATACAGAGACAAAGAAAGTGACTAATCACTCCCCAGGAGTGATGGCCAGACCGCAATCTCTTCTCCTCTGTTCTCCTCTCAGGATTTTGGGCACGCATGTACACGGGCCCAGTATTAGTTTGAAGCCACCAGGTCCAGGACTCGAACCAGTCAGCCATGTGGGAGTCCAGCAACGTAACTGCTATGCCATATGCTGGTCTCTCATGATTATTTTTTAATTTGCTACAGGGCACGTGTGAGAGAGAGGGAGAAAGTGAGAAAGCAAGTCAGTAAGTTTAAGTACCACGGGTCTTCAACTGCGGTCAGCCACGTAGGGGTCCAGTGACTCAATCACCATGCCACCTGCTGCCCACAAGAATGGACACTTTCTATTTTCTATTTTATTATGTATGTATGTACGTATTTTGAGAGGTTTTTGCTATGAGGGCATGCACTCGCCAGAAAGACAGAGAGAGACAGAGATACAAAGCAAGAAATCACCCTCCGGGGGGGGACTGGCCATGGTGCAATCCCTTCTCCTCCATTCTCCTCTCGGGATCTTGGGTACGCAAGCACACATGTCCAGCGTGAGTGTAAGCCACCAGGTCCGGAACTCAAACTGGACCATGGAGTCGACTACATGGGAGTCTAGCGACATAGCCATTACACCAACTGCTGGTCCCAAGAATGGATACTTTACACCAACCAATGGTCCCAAGAATGGATACTTTTAAACACTATCTCTTAGGGAAATTATGGAAATCAAATGTAACAAATTTCAATGCAAATCTGACACTTTATTAAAAGAGAAATGGTATTTCTCTTTGAAACTGTACATAGCAAAAATGGACAAGTTCAGCTCTCATAATCACTATGACAGAGAATGGCTAGGTTATCTTTAAAATAAATCTCCATGGAGGGTAGCAGGTAGTGATAGTTAAGGTGCTCAACTCCCACATGGCTGAGGTTCAAGTCTCGGACCTGGTGGCTTGCTTTCTCACTTTCCCTCTCTCTGTCACTGGTGAGCACATGTGCCCTATAGCAAACTTGAAAAATAATAAAAAATAAAGTAAAATAAAATAAAAAAAATAAAACTCTATAAAGAATCTAAGTAAGGGGTCAGCAGGTGGTGTGGTGGTTAAGGTGCCGGACTCCCACATGGCTGACCACCGTTCAAGTGCAAGACCCAGCAGATTGAAAATCACATCAGGCACATGTGTGTGTATTCCAAAGTCCCAAGAGGAGAATTAAGAGAAAGGACTGCCATCTGATCATCCATACAGGGGGTGACTTATCACTTTCCTTCTCTCTGTCTCTCTCCAGTGCATGCTCCCTATAGCAAGAACCTTTAAAAAAAAAAAGAAAGAAAGAAAGAAAAGAAAAACTAAGCAAACAGCAGCTTTTTCTTTTTTTTCTCAAAAGGTTTTTGCCTTAGGGTGAATGTGCTTGCTGAAGAGACAGAGAGACAGACACTGAAAGGGAAAGTGAGAAATCACCTCCTGGGAGGATGGCCATGCCGCAATCCCTTCTCCTCCATTTTCCTCCCAGGATCTTGGGCACACATGCACATGCGCCTGGAATGATTTTCAAGCTGCCAGGTCCGGGACTTGAACCATGGTCAACCATGTGGGAGTCCAGTGACGTAACTGCTATGCCATCTGCTGGCCCCCAAATTCTTTTCAGAACAAAAAGGAATATAAAGAGATAAATAAAATACAGAAGGGCCTTTAAACTACTTTGCTTCAAATAATTCCAAAGCAATATTTTTAAAAATTATAGCAGAACGTGTTCCTTACAAAACCCCTATAAGCAATAATGTAATCCCTGTTTCAGGTTTCTATATAAATAGTAAACTTAAGAAAATCTATTTCCTAAATGCCCTCTTCCCTTCATATTTTCATTCCAAAAAGAGGAAGCTGTCTAAGTATCAATTTCACAGTCTGACTCTCAACTCCAGCTCAATGATTAATGTCTTTTCACAGAGTAGGCACTTAACAGATGTTAGTTTCTCTATCTCTCTTGCTAAAAATAAAGATTAATTCTAAGTTACCTTTAATTCAGGAGCAAGTTGTTGAAATAAGCCTAAACCCTTCTTACTTCTGCTATTTTCTAAAATTCCTATATAAAAAAATATGTAGTAATGGGGGCTGGCAGGTGGCACGATGATTAAAGCACTGGACACTCCCACGGCCAACCACGGTTCAAGTCCAGACCTGGTGGCTTGCTTGCTTTCTTTCCCTTTCTCTGTCTCTCTTTCTGGTCAAATTAAAATAAATTAATGAATAAAGTTAAATAAGTAATTAAAAAAAAATAGGTAGTACTTACACATAAGGGAAACAGAAAGAAAGAAATCAGAGAGATAAGAGTGAGGAAAAGGGCAGGAGAAAAGAAAAGGAAAAAAAATCTTGTTTTCTTCCCAAGTATCCAGCAGCCCATTCCAAATCACATGGTCTATCTCTGCCCCTCAAGCTTCAAACAAACAAAAAATACTTTTATGCTAATGACTACTCTGCTTTCAACTATAAACCAACTGTATTTTCTTATACTATTGCAGAGATTTTTATTCACAATCACAGCTGTGTGCTCTCTCTAAGCTGTATATATAGAAAGATGCACAAGGCAAATATCATATAAGAAATAATTTTTTAATTTCCTTTATCCAAAAGATTAGGGGAAATTATGAGAATAAATCCAGTAAACAGTATTTCCTTTGTTCTAAATGGCGAAAGCTTTCATCTGTGAACATTTCTGAAGTATCTGTGCCTTTCCACATTAGTCTAAAACTAAGTGAGGTTTAAATATTAAAGGCATTCAATTTCATTCAGAGGCATCAGGGACAAACATAGAAAATGGCAAATGCATAGATTCTCAGCCAATCTACCACCACCCATAAAACAAAAACACCTTGCCACCAAAGCCAGTGTTTACCAGATTAAGTGTATTGAAGGACATGGGGCCTAGGCATTTTTAAAACATGTCCTTTTCATTATCCTTTTTCCCACTAAAGAGCAAATTCACATGACTCTCCTCTAAAACACTTAATATGAACTTATCTCCTAACCATATGCTTCAATTGTTTACAAATATTAATGTGACAAATAAGTTTCTATTTGTTCATAATACACAGCATCTGACAAATATTTGTATCTCAAAACAGAAACAGTCCTCCTCAAACCTACCTTTTTTAGCTCTTCTTTGGAGAATTTTTCATAAGGGTTATGTTCCAGATAAGTAATGTGTTCTGAATTGTTGGTACTAAATCCTACAGGTTTTCCTTTTTTATTCCCAGATGGTTCATAAGGATGATGTAGAAGGTCATAATGAAGCATTGTGATCATTTCTTTCTTGATTAGTTCTTCACTTTTCTGTAAATCTGTTAGAGGTGGTTCTACATTTAAAGGTCTTAAAATAGTTTCATTTACCTAAAATTTTAAAACAAGTACGTTACCAGACATAACACTGCAACATATTAATGTTATTACCTATTATAACACAAATTTAATAGTTTTATATTTTTGGGGCCAGCAGGTGGTGTTTAGGCGCTGGACTCCTACATGGCCAACCACAGTTTGAGTCCCGGACCTGGGGCTTGCTTTCCTACTTTCCCTTTCTCTTTCTCTGTCTCTTTCTGGACAAATTAAACAAATAATAATGATAATAAATGAAAAAAAGTAATTTTTCAAAAAAATTGTTTTATAAAATTTTCTAAAGCAATTTTTTTCCTTCTAAATTCCTACTGCTACCAAAGAAATTTTTTTAAAAGAGATTTTTGCTATAGGTCACGTGCACTCACCAGGGAAACAGGGAGACAGAGAGACAGAAAACCAGAAATCACCCCTCAGGGTGGACTGGTCATGCCACAATCCTTTCTGCTCCATTCTCCTCTCAGGATTTTGGGCACACATGCACATGTGCCCGGCATGAGTTTCAAGTCTCTGGGTCCGGGACTTACACCTCAGTCAATCATGTGGGAATCCAGCAGCATAACCATATGCCATCTACTGGTCCCAGTGAAACATTTTTAAAGACCAGATTTAGGAATTACTTTACTATACTATATAGAAAACAGATGAAATTTTGTTTTATAGTCTTTATGAATAATTTAAGAAGTATTAATCGCATATAAAGAAACTTAAAAATTCCTAAGCCAGACATCCTAACACTTACTTCTGACGGTCTTGGCAGATCTTTCTGGACAGCTTTGTGCATTCGTTTCATTTCCTTTACACGTTCAGCTTCTCGTATGGCCTAAAAAGTAATGTCCATATCCATTACTGCAGTTACACAAGATCACAGACGCTCAAGAGTGAAAGCTATAAAAACCTATGTAAGTTTACAAAAAAGTAATGATAAGGTAACAGAAATTAGTCTACTCATTCTTATAAAAGAAACTAAGAACGTCTACTATATACTTCTACTAGTGTCCACTTCTTCCCCAAATTTATATGACTCCATCCACTAGCTAACTGCTTGTTATGCCTAAATGGGAACTGTAAACTTACAGAGGATCCACAACACAACCTTTCCCTTTTACCCCAAAGTTACCAACTTTCAATTCAAAAAGCCAGTAAATGTACTGTTTCCTGATACTTAAATTATGAATAATGTGCGTTAACACATTAAAATGTAATGTCATTTCTGAGAGCATGTAAGTCCCTAACTGTAACTCAAAGTAGCTGAAAGAACTAATCACACAAAGATTTATCCTCTTTCACACCAAAGAGCACATTCACACGGTTCCCCCTCTGAAATAAAATTTCCACTGATGTCATTCTCACTCCACTCTCCCGAGATTTAAACTTCCGAAGATATTCCTGAAATAGAATGCAGCAGTACTTACCTAAAGGAGTCACAAAGTATCAGTTCTAGTTAAGGATTCACCACCTACCAGCCATGAGACGTGGGCAAGTTCATTTAATGTGAGCCTTTTCCTCACTCTAAAATGGAGCTAAACCCATCCCTATGTATAGCACTGGGCTGTTTTGTGTAAACGAGAAAGTAATTAATTATAACATATGTTAGTACAAGGTGTCACTAATATTATTCTGACAAAGTCTCTGAATTTCTATACCCACAGTTTTTATTAGTTTATACTGACTCAAAACCATTTACTTAACCAATCCAAGACACACTTTTTTTTTTTTTTTTGAAAGGTGTTTTTTTTTGCTATAGGGCACGTGCGCTCGCCAGAACAACAGAAACAGACAGAAAGCGAGAAACCACCACCCAGGGGGGATGGTCGTGCCACAATCCCTTTTCCTCCTTTCTCCTCTCGGGATCTTGGGCACACACACACATGTGCCCTGCATGAGTTTAAGCCACTGGGTCTGGGACTCGAACCGTGGTTGACTACATGGGAGTCCAGCAACATAGCCTTTACATTAACTGCTGGTCCCAAAGACACATGTTTTTAAGACTAACTGAAACCACCTTTTCTTGCTAGATTAAAAGCAGTGTCTAAGGGGCAGGCAGGTGGTGTGGTGATTAAGAGCGCTGGACTCCCACATGGCTCAGTGTAGTTCAAATCCCAGAGCTGATGACTTACTTTCTCATTCCGTATCTCTCTCTCTCTCTGTCCCTCTCTGGTCAAATTAAAATAAATAAATAAATACATAAAATAAAGCTCAACAAAATAATTTTTTTAAGAAAAGGCAGTATCTAAAAGACTACCTACATATATATATATATAAATATATATATATAATTTTTTTTTTTTGGAGAGGTTTTTGCTATAGGGCGCGTGCGCTTGCCGGCCAGAGAGAGAGAGACCGAGAGCCGGGTCGGGGACGCGAACCGCGGTCGACTACATGGGAGTCCAGCGACATAGCCATTACGCTAACTGCTGGTCCCTACCTACGTATATTTTTAAAAAGCATAATGAGGGGCCAGAAGGTACATGGTGGTTAAGGCGCTGGACTCCCACACGGTCAACCATGGTTCAAGTCCCGGGCCTGGTAGCTTTAAAAATCATACCACACACGTGTGCATGCCAAAATTCCGAGAAGGGATTGTGGTATGGTTATCTGCCCTGAGGAGTGACCTCTCACTTTCCCTTTCTCTGTCTCTCCAGTAAGTGCACAAACCTATGACAAAAAAACTTAAAAAAAAAAAAAAAAAAAAACAAAATGAATCTGACACAGTATTCAAATCACTCACTCACACACACACACACACACACACACACACACACACACTCTTAATGCCCGACAAGGAGGCTGGGCAGTGGCATAGCACGGAGACTAAACTACATGGGAAACTTCCAGGTTTAAAAAGATTACCCTGCGTATGACAGGCCCATCATGCATGATCTGAGGCTGGCTAGCTAAAGCCAGAGGTGTATCAGTGTTGAGACCATGTTTGGGGTTTCTGTCTCTCTTACTTATGGAATAAACTTTAAAAAAAAAAAAAAATGCCCATCTAGATATTACAAGTAAGGGGGCCAGCAGGTGGTGTGGTGGTTAAGGCACAGTATTCCCACATGGCCAAGCACAGTTCAAATCCTGGATTCAGGAATTTGAAAATCACAAATAAATAGATAGATAAAAAAATATAAATAAATGCTTTAAAAATGTGCACACACACACACAAAATTTAAGATATTACAAGTACTGGAACCAGGAGATGGCATGGTGGCTAAAGTGCTTGACTCCCACAAGGCCAACTGTGGTTCAAGTCCCAGACCTGATGGCTTGCTTTCTACATCCTCCCTTGAGGATGATTTCTCACTTTCTGACTCTCTCTGTCTCTCTGGCGACCACATGAGCCCTGTAGAAAAATCTCTCTCTCAAAAAAAAGAAACTGACACCCTGGAAAAAAAAACTTCTGGAAATGAAGAATATAATACAAGAAATTAAAACCTTCCTAGAGGGGCGAGCAAGTGGCATGGTGATTAAGGGCACTGGACTCCCACATGGGCAACTGTGGTTCAAATCCTGAACCTGGAGGCTTGCTTTCTTCTTATTTTCTCTCCTCCCCCTTCTCTGGTCTAATTAAAATAAAGAAAGAAATAAAGTTAAATAAGATAAAACAAACAAACAAACAACTCCCTAGTAAGCATTAATAGCAAATTGGACCATGCAGAAGAAAGAATTTCTGACCGTGAAGACAAAGTCTCCAACATACACCAAACCACCAAAAAGAATGAAAAAAACAAACAAAAAAAAAGATGAGGAAAACATACGGGAAATTCTAGACACCATGAAATACCCAAATATCCATATAATGGGTATTCCAGAGAGGAGAATAGAAAGGCATGGAAAACCTCTTTCATGAGATACTATCTGAAAATCTCCCAGATATAGATAAACATGGAGAAATTCAGACTCAGGAAATAAAAAGGACCCCTAACTAGAATCAACACAGAAATAGCCTCCCTCCAGCACATCATTACCAGATTGGTAAAAATAAAAGACAATATTCTATTGGCAAGGGAGAAACATCAAGTTACTTACAAAGGTTATCCCATTAGGATAACATTAGACCTCTCAAATGAAACAATCCAGGCAAGGAAAGAATGAGAAGATGTATTTAACATTAAAAGAAAAACAGTTCTTTGTTTTGTTTTGTTTTGTTTTGAGAGACTGCTATAAGGTGTGTGTGCTTGCCAAAGAGACACAGAAAGAAAGAAACCATCATCTGGGGGGGGGATGGCCACACCACAATCCCTTCTCCTTCGATTTCCCCTCAGGATTCTGGGTATGCACACACACGCACCTGGCAGGAATTTTAAGCCACCAGGTCCAGGACTCGACCATGATCAACTATGCAAGAGTCCAACAACATAACCATTATGCCATTTGCTGGTCCCAAGAAAAACAATTTTAACCAAGAATACTATATCCAGCAAGATTAGCCTTCAAATGGGAAGAACAAATAAGATAAACAAAAACTGGGGACCAGCAGTTGGCATAATGGCTATGTTGCTGAACTCCCATGTAGTCAATCGCGGTTCAAGTCCCAGACCCAGTGGCTTAAACTCATGCCGGGCACATGTGCGTGCGTGCATGCGTGCGTGCATGCCCAGGATCCAGAGAGGAAAATGGAGGAGAAGGGATTGAGGCATGGCCATCCCCACTTGGGGGTGATTTCTCGCTTTCTGTCTCTCTGTCTCTTTCTGGCAAGAGTACACACCCTACAGCAAAAACAAAAACTGAAAAAATTCACCAATACTAGACCAGCTCTACAGGAAGTACTGAGGGGAGTGTTTTATCAGGATAACTAAAAAGACAAAGAGAGAAGTAAGAAAACAAAAAACAACTAAGAGACTAACAAAATGACAGAGATAAGTCTGCAATTATCAATAATAACGCTGAATGTTAATGGGTTAAATTCTTCCATTAAAAGACACAGACTGGCTGGTTACAAGAAACACACCTCACTGAAAAGCACATACATAGACTGAAAGTAAAGGGCTAGAAAGAGATATTCCATGAAGTGAAAACCAAAAAAAGGTGGAAATTATGATACTATGTGTGTGTGTGTACATATATAAATATGTATATGCACGCACACGCACCTGGTGTGAGTTTAAGCCACCGGGTCTGGGACTTGAACTGCGGTCAACTACATGGGAGTCCAGCAACATAGCCATTATGCCAACTGCTGGTCCCCAGTTTATTTTATATGATATCAATTATCACAATTTCAACCTTTTTTTGTTTCTGTTGTATGAAATATCTGCAAGAACTTGGTTCACCAAGAAGATATAACACTTGTAAACATCCATGCACCCAACACTGGAGTACCTAAATACATCAAAGAAAGACTGTCAGATCTCAAGGGAGAGATAGACTGCAACCCAATAATCATAGGGGATCTCAACACCCCACTGTCTCCTCTGGACAGATCATCTAGACAAAAACAGAGATACAAGGTCTAAACGATATCATACATGAAATGGACTTGTCAGACATCTACAGAGTATTTTACCCAACTACCACAAAATATATATATATAATTAAAATGTCATCCTACCCAAATTAATCTACAAATTAATACAATTCCAATCAAACTATCAGAGCTATTCCTCACAGAAATAGAAAAAAAAAATCATATTTGTCTGGAATCATAAAAGGCCCCGTATCGCCAGAATAATACTTCCTGACCTCAAAACACATTACAAAGCTGTAATAATTAAAACAGCATGGTACCAGTACTATGAGCAGTTAAAAAAAAAAAAAAAAAAAAAAACATGGTAAAAGTACTTACAGAGTCATAAAAAACAATGAGATTCTGACATCTGATACAAAGTAGCCGAATACAAAAGCCACAAGGCTAAGCAAAGCAAGCTGGAGTATGAAAGATTTTATATGTCCCCACTCATTATATACCAAATGTCTGTGCTATACAGCAGAAACTGAATGTTTGCAAAGTATAGTAGTAGGGAGGGCAACTGTAGATAATAGAGATAGTAAGGATAGGAATAATACGGGGGCGGATAATAGAGGAAGGGAAGGGAGCAAAGGAAAAAAATACATCTGACACAAAAATTTTAAGTTACTTGCTGATGATAATGTATACGGTAATGCCTTTGTCTTGACTGACGTGTACCATATTTATGCTGGAAAAAGCAATGTTGTGTACTGTATAGCTATATGGTGATTAAATGTAAATTTAAAAAATAAATTAAAAAAAAAAAAACTTTGAGGGCCAGCAGGTGGCATAGTGGTTAAGGCGCTGGACACTCCCATACGGCTGACCATGGTTCCAGTCCTGGAACTTGTGGCTTACTTTCTCATTTTCCTTCTTTCTCTGTGTGTCTCTCTCTGGTCAAATTAAAATAAATGAATGAATAAATAAAATTAAATAAATAATTCTTAAAAAAAAAAAAACCTTTAAACGGATATTTTGAGACATTTAATGACCATTCTTTATTCTTTAAACCTGACACATTCAGTAAAACACATACGTCTTTAGCAGTTACCCACCTGCTTTCGAGCATCTACATCAGCAGCATCCTCAATGTAAGTGTCGTCTACTTCACGGTCTTCTAGCTCCTTCTCAGCATTTTCTGGTAAAACGATTTCAAAATCATTCTTAGGGGCAGGAAGGCCCAACAACCCTAAACGGAGATGTTCACGGGATTCTCTTTCCTGTTAAAAAAAAGAATCAGACTTCTCAATTCATACACATAAAATATTCCGATAATATTTTACAAGCATTTCTAAAAAAAAATTAGCATAATATTCTTTTTTTTTTTTTTTGGAGAGGTTTTTGCTATAGGGCGGGGGCGCTCGCAAGACAGACAGAGATA